GAATCTGTTGTAGAGTGAATTGTTGGTCATGTGAGGTTGGACTCATTAGATGGTTTCTGAAGTCCTTCTGACTCTAAAATTCTGTGTTCAAGTCAATCTTGGCCTCCAAGGATTTTATCCTTGGGATCATCAGAATGTGGAGACTCTTCTTGTTCCAGCATGATGGTTTAAAAAATGTTATAGAGTGCATTTTTTTTTTTGTAGATTAGGGAGGGAAAAAGTGTAGATCTATGATTTTATCAATATATTTAATTCTTTGGGTGAGAACTAGTTCCATTCATTGCAAATCTGCAATATCTATATAACAAAATCTTAGAGAACTTTCTAGGGATGCTGAAAGAATAGTAATGATAACTCACATGATAGTGCTTTAAGGTTTGCAAAATTCTTTGCAAACCTTAACTCATTTGGCCTTCACAACAACTCTGTTAAGTAAATGCCATTATTATCTCCATTGTTCAGATAAAAAAATTGAGTCTCAGGTTTCAATTTAGCCTACAATCATGCTAGTAAGTGATTTATGCCCAGGTGTTTCTAACACCAGCTCTAGTTCTCTGTCCACTATGGCATGTAAACTCTCAATGTCTGTTATGCCTTTTGGAATGCACCATAATGTAATTATACTTATGGTGGGACCATGCTGCAAGAAGGCACTCTGATGGGAATAATACATTCCAACCAAGAGAAGAATTCTCTAACTAGTCTTGTGGGGAGAAAATGCAAACCAAGATAAACCAAGCCAAAACCAAAATCTTAACCAAGCCAATTAATCAACCAACCAGAGCCTGATGATTAAGGCCATGTGACAGATGAAGACCATTACTGGGGGGATGGAGAGAGGAGGAAAATATCTATCAACTATCTCTCTATCTACCTGTCTTTTTTCTCTTTCTTCCTTTCTCTCTTATTCTCTCTTTCTTTCTCTGTCCCTTGCTGATCAATTAAGAGATCATAGCTAGGTTTTTCAGAAAAGTGTGTTCTGGGTAGGACTCTGGATCTAAATTGAAGGTGAGTCTTTCTCCATGATGCTCTTGGTCCTGCCTTTTCCCAATAAATCATGTGGGCCAGCCTTTAGATGACAGAACTATAGCCAAGCAAATCAACTTTCAGATACATTATTTATGCAGAGCAGCAGAGAGAGAGAGAGCAGAGCTGCATGAACAATGTGTTCATTTTAATAAAGTCAGCTCCAAAGTTGCAGTGTCTAAGAGAGGAGAAGAAGGAGCAGGCCAGGGAAGGTGATTTGATTAAAGGATGTTTGTTGTAAATAACAGTAGAGAGGTCCGGTTTTCTGTCTTTCAAAGTACACATCCACATTTACATAAAGACAGGATGCAAAAGATAAACCAAGGGAATTGATATAACTCATGCCATATTAGTAAGAGCTATTTACCTAGACTAGGGTGCTAGAAGGGAGGGCTACTGGGGGGAGGTTGCTTGACTCTACATAGATACAGACACCAGGGAGTAGTGACAGATCTGGGATGACTTGCTGAGTGTGAAGATTTATCTTGTCTGGAATCCAGGGGACTGGGGTGGGGGGAGGAGAATGCCAAATGCATTTTCATTAAGAGCTCTTCCTGATATGGGAGGGACAAAAGAGGGGATAGAGTTCGGTTGACTTTATCCTTACTAGAGTCAAGGCATGACCAGAACAAATGAGAGCCTCTTGAATCGAAACAGGAGGTAAGGGGCTTGCTGGCCTGGACTCTATCTTTTTAAGGAAAAGTACTCCCAAAAAGACATAGGAGGAGGATACAACCAGCCCTTTATGATGGCACTACCCTCAATAATAAAGATTTTGCTATGGGAAAAAAGGCAGGTAGAAATGAAAGGGATTCTTAAATTTCTGGAGATAGAATATATGCTCTTTGAGAACAGGGATTATCTTGTTTTTATATTTGTCTCCCCAGGATCTATCTAGCACAGTGCCTGGCATATAACAGACAATAAAGACTCATTGGTTAATTAATTCATTGGGGAATCAGGAATCATAAGGATAGCTATTCCTGATGTGTGTGTGTGTGTGTGTGTGTGTGTGTGTGGTGCTGGGGTATTCATTGACATCAAAGGTTCCTCCTTGCTTGTTCTGGTTATGTGAAGGACCTTGGAGTCCTGGACTCTTCCTCCCTCACACTTCATATCTAATCAGCTGCTAAGTCTTGTCACTTCTACCTTCACAACACTCTCACACCCATTCCCTTCTTCCCCCTCATGTCACCATTGCCCTATTCTAGACTCCTCATCCCTCACCTAGATAATTGAAGCAGCCTCAGAGCTGGTCTCCCTGACTCAAGTCGCTCCCTTTTCCAATCTGTCTTCCCCGTGGCTGCCAAAACAATCTTATTAAAGCACGTCTGGCTCCCTTACTCAACTGAATCCTTATTACTTCTTGGATAAAATACAGTCCTCAGTTTGACATTTAAAGCCCTCCAAAATTGAGTTCCCATCCACCTTCCTAGGCGTATTCCTCATTACTCTGCTGCACACATTCTATGCTTCTGTCAAACCATCCTACTTACCTCTTGGAGACAGTCTTTAATCTCTTGTTTCTGCCCCTTTATACAGGCACAAGCCCTTTTAACCTTGACCTCTTAGAATCCCAGATTTCTCCAAGGATCATTTCCTGTCTCTTGTCCTATGAGAACTCTGTGTGTGTGTGTGTGTGTGTGTGTGTGTGTGTGTGTGTGTGTGTTTGTATTGGGGTGGTGGGAGCAAGTAGAGTAGGGAGATATTATTGGTGCCTGGAATTCCTTTGGGGGAGAAATTCTTTCAACAGCTGAAGATCAGGAAATCTTCTGTAACCTAGAACCTTGCAGAGTTGCCTTGGTGTTAGGAGAGGAAGACTTAATATTAGTGCCTTGTTAGTGTTGGGATAAAATGAAGCATGAGTAGGCTATCTAAACTTTAACAAAAGGAGGTTTACTTAGTCCTAGCACTGTCAGGAGCAAAGATACAATGGCATGTAGCTCCAGTGGACATGGCCCTCCTCATCTCCCTATGGAAATGCATCTGTACAGCAGGGTGAGATGTGGTGACCCATGGTTTTTGAGTATCCACCAAGGCTGAAGGGAGCCACCCCCATGTAGATGACCATTGATAACCAGGAAGCTAGTAAACATAACCAGAGGCCCCCAGAAAGCTGGGGCGACTAGATGGTGCAGTGGATAGAATATGGGGCCTGAAGTTAGGAAGACTAATTTTCTTGAGTTCAAATGCAGCCTCAGACACTTACTAGCTTTGTGACCCTGGGCAAGTCACTTAAGCTTGTTTGCCTCAGTTTCCTCACCTGTAAAATGAACTGGAGAGGGAAATAGCAAACCACTCCAGTATCTTTGCTAAGAACACCCCAAATGGAGTCACGAAGAGTCATGACTGGAAGGATTGAAAAAAAACCCTTTATCTCTGGGTTAAATTTCTATTATTTCCCATCCCTGGTTTGCATCAGACACTGAAACATTTGGGGAAGTGGGCGAGTCAAACCCTGGGATGGTATTTTACTCCCAACAATTTCCTAGACACCTATGCTGAGATGACAAGAAGAAAGCCCAGGTTCTCTTCCCTTCCGGACATTTACAGAGAAGAGGAAGTAAGGTCAGCATCTTAACTGAGGGACCAGTCAAGGTTTCAGGTCCATAACCCTCATGGATCCCAACTTCCCTTTCCTTCATTATCTTCTCTTGCTGTATTATGGTACCTCCCTCTTTGTCCTTGTGATTAGCCTCCACCTTCCTTTTCCCAGTTCTTGGTTGGGCTGCTTTACTTCCTGTCCTATATCGCCACTCTTATTTCCAGGTCTGGGGCTATGATCCAGAGGAAGATAGGCTCCAGTTTCCCAGTCCATAAAATGAATGTGTGTGTGTGTGTGTGTGTGTGTGTGTGTGTGTGTGTGTGTGTGTGTGTGAGAAAAGGTTCTTTCTAGTTTCTCCCATATTTAGAGATCTCAAAGTATGGAAGGGAAAGGTAGAGGAAGTTTTATCTAATGAGGCTGGAAATATAAGTTGGAGCTAAGTTGTGAAGGACTTGAAGACCCAAGCAAAGAAGCTCATATCCTTGACATCCCTCAGGCAATTCGCTAGGTCTTATCCATATTGGGATCTTGGGTTAATTTCCACACTAGGAGTTTCCATAGACTAAGGAAATCACAGATCCCCCTTTGCAGTGGCTAAAGACTTTAGTGACTGTGTGAATCCTGCTCTCTCTAAAAGTAAGGGAAGCTTTTAGTATTTTTTTTTTTTTAAGATTTAGCTCATGTCACTTCCTCTCAGCTAAGGCTACCTTCCCCATATACACTCTATTGATCTCACATGTACTGATTTGCTTATGTTATCTCCTCCATTAGACTATAAGATCCCAAAGGGCAGATATTCTTCTTGCTTTTTCTTTGTAATTCCAACCCTGACCACAATGTCAAACACATTGTTAGAGCTTAATAAATGATTGATAATTGATTGATTCTTTTACTTACTGATGCTTATGGTGAATAAAGAGAGGCTAGATGGATTCAGGAGAATTTGGCTTTCTCTCCTGTTCTTCCATTGATGGTACAATCTTGGGAGAATCACTTTCCCTCTCTGCCTCAGTATTCTCATTTGTAACACAAGAGGGCTGAATGAGGTGATCTAGAAGGTCACTTCCAGCTCTAAAAGTCTAAGATCAATCTTTGGTTAATTTCAGTTGCCCCTCTGAATAAATTCAAACCCAGGAGACTTCAAGAACATAACTAGTGTTGGGAGAATGGTTGGCTTAAGGGCTGACTTGGCTAAGTGTCCATGGATGGAAAGCAGAGATCAGTTGCAAGCTTGGATTTCTTTGCCAAGTGGATAGCTCCTCCTTATTTCTCCTTCACTGCTTCTTCATTACACCTGAAACAGCTGTTGCCAAAAGAGCCTTGTGAACCCTCTGTCCTCAGTGCTGAACTCAGGTCAGGCTGAAGGAGTCTGGAGGGAGCCATTGTCTTGATTAGATCTGATGTATTCTATGCATCTTCCTCTTCACAGGTACTGGGGTGGCTGCCTTTCATTCAACACATGTCAAGGTGGGCCGTCCTTACCCCCTCTAGCCAAGCAGCTTTTCACAGCTGGACCTGGGCATTTTCTGGAATAAAAACATAAACTGCATAGCCAAGGAATTTGCCCTCTGAAGCAAACAGCATCCAATCCATCCTGTGGACAGCTCAAGGAGGAAAAAAAAAATAAAAAAACCCGACAACAACCCAATAACCCAGCTACTTGTCAGCCAGTGTGCTGCCTTGGCTAATGAATATTAGACAAATGAATTTGCCTTGTTTGAGCCTCCAAACATCCAGGATTAAACCAATAACCTTAAAGAACATGACGTCCTGAGCCAGCAAATTAAAGGCTGTTTCCAGCCCCATTTCAGTGCCCTGTAATAACAACATCAGTCTTCTGTTCTCTCTCCCCCTTCATTCCTCCCTACAGAGTGAGCATAATAGGCAGCAGAGTATCTCACCTGTTACCCTGATTCCATTTTAGAAGAAGAAACAAGAAAGACGTGTTAATATGGATGGAATTTTACCACTGCCCCCACCTCTCTCCTCCTTCTACAAATAAATAGGGGTAATAGAAACCAAACCAGAGCCTAACAGACTATTGAAAGCATATCAGCATAGGATTATGGAAGGAATTTTAGAGGTTTTTTCAATCCCTTCATTTTACAGGGAAGGAAATAGAGGAGGAATGGATTACCACTGAGGGCCCTTGACTTGCTCAGGGTCTATCAGGTTGTTTAGACTCCTACCCAGGGACTCTGGCTCAAATTCCAGCATTGTTTCCACTTTATCACATGGTCTTCATGTTGTTATTAATCTCTATATTTCTCATTTCTCTGCTTTTATTCTCTTTCTCATCATACAATAGGGTGGCTCCTTTTACTTCAGCAAAGTTGAACGTCATAAGAGGCAAGGCAGAAACAATGAAATGAAAGGTTTAAATAAAGCATTTAATAACTTGTAAGCATCTGAGGCTTCGAGTAGCTCAAATGAGCTGGGCTAGACGAGACAATGACCTTGACCCTAGGAAATGCACTCATTCACTAACTTTGTCCCCAGTTAGTCATTTGTATGAGATGCAATACGAATATGGGAAATGTAATTGGGTTGGGGGGGGGGCAGTTCACCATAATCTAAAGTGAAGTGCCTCACTATCAGGAAGAATTTTTGAATAGGAGAGGCCAGATACTTCTCACCCACTGCCTGTGAGGTGACAAACCTTAGAGCTAAAGTGGTGAGGAAGCAGAATTAGAGAGGCTTATGCTAGACTAAAATCTCTGTCCTTTCTGGAAAAAAAAAAGCACAATAGCACTCTAGAAGAAAAGAGCATATCTAGCGAAGCCTGAAGCAGGAGTTAGTGAAAGCTGTAGTTGCCCATCAAAGAGTGGGCCAAAAGAATCTAGTGGCTCAAGCTGTTCAGCAAAGATGTTGCACCACATGAAGAGCCAGGCCAGCACTTGAGCAACCTGCCTGGACTAACATGCAAAGCATCAATCTTATGCCCTGGGAAGATACATGCCAGAGAATAAGTGAACTTCCTAGCCCTATCTGGCAGTGGTTTGATTTATCCAGCAGAGACACTATGCCTTGAGAGGAACAAGCCCATCTAAACTACCTATCTAGCTGTACTCTATGGGAAATCCAGCCTAGAAGCAGAATTACTTATTTATCACTGGTACCAATCTGTACTGAACTTTGCGAGGACATTGAAGTCCTACAGTTCCAGATTTGTGAGTTACATATATTCCCTATACCATTGTATTATTGCCATTGCATTTCAGGTTTGCATCCTTTCTGTTTTTTAATTTTTTTTGGGGGGGGAATGCTTTTTTTTTTAAACTACTATTCTTGCTATACCATTTGAGTAAATATATTTTCTAAGAGCCAGCTGAGGCTATTGGCTGATTGTCAATGGGAAGCACACTGGTGGGGGCTCATGAGTTACAGTTTGGGGAGTAGTTACCAAGATTACCCTGAAAAAAATAAAGGTAGCTGTCATTCCTATTGGGACCTGCCAATTTGAATGAGAGTTTCAGTGGGTCCAGAGGGGATGTTAAAATAGGCTTACAGGATTTAGAGCTGGGGCCTTAGAAATCATCTAGCCCAGTACTCATTTTTGTAGATGAAAAAAACTGAGTCTCAGGAACAATGAAATGTAAGGGTAAGGCCCTTTTAGTTTTAATTGAAGCATTTAATAACTTGTAAGGTGCTGAGGCTTTGAATAATTGTATGTGAGTAGGGCTAGCAGAGACAATACCCTTGACCCTTGGGTCTCTCCTCCTACCTTCTGATTGCTGCATTTTGGTCTCCCTCATTCTCTTGATCTCCTTTTTTTCTGCCCTATGCTAATGATAGCAACAACTGTTGCTGTGCCTCATGGCTTTATCTAGGGCCCTCTTTTCTTTTCACACTTTCTCTCTTGGCTATCTCATCTTCTCTCTGGGGTTTAGTTATACTATATATTAATGACTCCCAAATCTATTTTTTATAGTTTTGGAGTTAAAAATTAGTACAATCTCCCTTCAAGTACAAGCATCCTAGGACATCATTTGTGGGTAATCATCTCACATCTGTTTGAGCATTTCTAGTGATGGAGAGCTCACTACTTCATTACATAGCTCATTCCCTTGTTGGAGACAATATTTGAAAATGATCTTCCTTATACTGAGTTGGAAACAATATAGCATAGTGGGATGAGAATGGGATTTGGAATCAGAAGGCCTAGCTCTAATATTAAGTAGCCATCTTATCAAGGACAAGTCACTCAATTAATCAATTAACATTTATTAAGTTCTTACTATATACCAATGACTTAAAAGTCACTTAACCTGTCCAAATGTCCTCATCTATAAAATGAGAATCGTAATTCTTGTGCTACTTAAGTACTACACATGTGAACTGATATTATGATTATAATGAGTCTTTGGATTTGCCTCCTTGGACAGTTTGATCCAATGAACATCATTATTTCAAAGACTCGCTTACTTCTCACTACCCTGAAACTTTTTGAAATGGAAAGGAAGAACTAATTAGCTCCCTATTTATCTCTGTCTCTATGCCCCTGCTTGAGTTCTGATTGGGCAACCATGATTATGAGGATGATGATGATAGCTAGCATCTATATAGAACCTATTGTGTGCCAAGTGCTGTGGTAAGCACTTTACAAATAATATCTTACTTGATTTTTACAATCACCCTGGGAGGTAGGAACCTCATTTTAAAGTTAAGGAAACTGAGTTGAACAGGAGTGAAATGGCTTGCCTGGTGTGGTCACATAGATAATAAGTATCTGAGACTGGATTTGAACTCAGGTCTTCCTGACTCCATGTATTGCACCATCTCTTGGCCAATTTCCTGGTTTCAGTGCACAAGCAAAGTGATTGGATTAAGCATTCTTCCTGTATTAGAGAGATAGTGTGGCATAATGGATAAAGTAAAAAAATTCTGGATCTGAATGCTGCTGCTTTAGGGACTTATGAGCTGTATGACCCTGGGCAAGTCACTTCCACCTCACTCAGAGTCAATTTTCTCATCTGTAAATTGGGGAGAATAACAGCACCTACCTCAGAGGATTGAATAAAATAATTTTATGTCAAGTACTTACTTCTATCTATTCATCCATTCTCTGTATAGAATAATCTAACCCTTGCCTCCAGGTTTCATACAGATGGGCTCCTATTTTTGCAATACACTCTCATCTAAGCTCCACTTCCCAGAACTTCTAGCTTCTTTCAAAACCCAGGTCGTGGGCCATCTTCTATATGAGGCTTTCCTGATCTCTCCCTTCCCCCCGTTATTAGCACTGTTTGCCTACAGAAATATCATTGTCTTTGTATCTTCGTATATTTTCTGTTTAATTTATCATGTTCAATTAGAATGTAGGTCCCTAAAGGACAGATTATTTGTAGTTATCTTTGTATCTCCAGTGTAAAGCAGAATGTTTTATATGCAGTAGGCACTTCATAAATGTTCATTGGATTGAATTGAATCTTGAGCAATTTAACCTGGCTGATTTTAAGTTTCTTCATCTGTAAAATGGGGCTAAAGATACTTGTAGTAACCCTTCCTCATAGAGTTGGTAGGATAAAATGAGATACCAAAGGCAAGGTGCAAAATTTAAAGCCCTACATAAATGTCAGTTCTACTATATTCATTTTGTCTTCACAATAGGTCTGTACCCCAGTAAAATAAACAGCAATTTATGGCATGGATTTCTTAAGTTGAGCCTTGCAGAATACATTATTTCCTTTACTAAGCAGGTAATGGGACAATAGCCTGATCTTAGGAGAGTGAAATATTTTCCATTTCATTAAAAAATAATACATCACTTCTCTTTCTTTTCAAAAGTAGTGGCTTGAACATCAATCCAAAGTATTTATTCCATTTAAATTAGCAGAAGCCTACCTCATCATTTTCTTGTTCTTTTTAGAAGGGTCTTCCTTTCTCTCCTTCCCTAGCACCTCCCACCCCCACGTACCAAATCAGCAATGGATTGAAAGGAAAAGACAATAGTTAGACTGATTGGAAGATCCAGCCTGTCTTAAAAAACCAATTTAAAGGAAATAAAAAGTCTTAGCATCAGACTCAGAAGTCTCTAATGCCCAAACCTGTGAAAGTTGGAAGCACAAACAATGAATCACAGTTTACTTTTTATAATATTGCTTTGGGGCTACAATGTGCTTGACATACAGGAGCTTATTTGAGCATCAAGTATTATAGTAGAGAAGAGTAGGCATAGTAGTAGATAAAGAAACTACAATTCAAAGAGGGTAGGCATACAACTGGCAGAGCTGGGACCAGAACCCAAGACTCCAGTCCAGTGTTCTATCCATCATATCACACTATCTTTCATAACAAGTTACGAAGACAATATAGTGTCATAGAAAGAGTATGGGAATGAGAATTAGGAAGAGTCAGGGAAGTCATTTAATCTATCTGAACCTCAGTTTCCTCATTTGAAAAAATGAAAGTAACATCAACATCTATCTCACAGGATTATTGGGAGAATCCAGTGAACTAATGCATACAAAGTGCTTGGAAACCTCGAAATATTATTTAAATGTCAGTTATAGTTTGAAGCATTATCTCTAGAGAGCCTCTTACCGGCCATCCTTGCATTGGTCCCCAGAGGTCAACTAGCAATTTTGATGTGCGATGTACAGGGCAGAAAACATCTCCAGGGCGAGTAGAACAAAATGCCCTCTCAAGTCAACTTTTTCAGATAAATTTAGTTGGGAGTAGGGAGGACTCAAGGACACTGCCCAATGGGGGAGAAAGATATTCCAGGGGATGAAGAGTGCCTCATATTCTGCATCCTATGGGCAGAGACTCTGGGACGGTATGCAAAGCTCAGTTTTTTCTTTGG